GTTCATATATGGCGCCATCCTGACGTTAACCCTTTTGTAAAAAGTTGGTTATAGAATGCATTATTGTGAGTATTATTGCTCTGCATCTGTGAAAACTGACTTTTTAGGTTGACAATATCCGATGACTGTACATGTGCGATCACCGTTTCCTCTGTACAATTACTCATCTGGTGGGAACGCCATGTAAGTAATTCTAAGATGAGGTCGTGTGTGCTTGAGCGTGATGGGAATCGTCATTTTCTGAGTGTGGCCATTTTGAACTATTAACTTCCATGGCTTCGAGGTGTGTTGCGCATGTCATACCAACGGCTTGTACACGTCTGCCTTATTCGCTTACTCTGGGGCAGGTTAGAAAAAACAGACAGATGGTCGGTGTATAACGTGGCGTTGTGGGCTGAGAGGTAGTTGCACTGGTTAAGCATTTCTAGGCGCCTTATAACACCCTGGGTAGTGCCTGAGTGATCACGCAACTCAGTGACTTGTGATGATAAGAGGAATGTCTCAGGATCAAAACCAATAGTGGTCAAGCTGCAACATTCTTGTTTCTTACATTAGTGAAAACAAAACGAATGTAGTGAATACCTTTCTGAAAGTATCTTTGAGAATATCTCTATTTTAACCTGCTCTTTTCTCATTTCTCTGTCTTAGTGTTGCTTTATTATTTTGTAGAGCGCATCTTTTGATGCCGATGTTTTACCAAGTTTATATTTTAAGTCAATAATATACATTATGATTTATTTTCTTGAAATGAGTTCGTCACTTGAACATATAAGTCAAATTTGAAGGTGAAACCTAAATAAATTGCTTGTCTACAGTTTTCGAAAGTATTACATGATCAGAATCAATAGGGATTTAAGCAATTTGTTAACTTGGTTTTGTTTTATTTCAGCAACAGTTGAGCTGAGAAAAAACAATTTGTCCTGGACTGTACTTCGCTATAATATGGCTAATCTTATTGTTGATCCCAATGATAATGCCATCAAGATGGTACCAATTAAATCATTAAACGCATCTCCCTCCACACCTGTGACAACAGCAAATGCTACATCTGTACTGCCAGTTTTACTGCCGTCACATCATCATCTCCAAAATCTTTTCATTTGCATCGTGTTGGTTTAACATGGAGTTGGAGTTCACTGTTATCGCCGTTTACTGATGGTGGTCGTGATGATAATGAATCAACTTGTGATCATGAACAGGTAGACGGGTTCCTTCTAGGCGTAATTCAACTACGTGATCCTCAATGGCCATTAGAGAATTTTTTTGATAAATGAGTTTGACTTAAAGGTATTGGTTTTGTTACAGCTAGTTTGGTTATTGATTTGATTCATTTCTTACTTTTGATTTTTTCTTTCACTTCACTGATTAAGTTTTTACGCTACATATTTCCTTTAATTATTATTATTATTACTGCCTGATTCTCTTTATGCTATCTTTTTTCGATAAGTTTATTGTGATTTGTTTGTTTTTCTATGTAATAAACAGGAAAAGAGAATCATTTGTTTTAAAAACCGTTTTTTTCTACGTTTCACTTGTCTATGGATGCTTGGTTGATTGAGCCCAGTCTTTTAACTATTTTATGTGTGAGACATTGTGACACGGTGGTTTCATGAGGAAACCTTAAAGTAAGACTTTGTCTGTTGATTGTTACCACTGGAATGTCTACAGTCTGAAGAGCACGTACGCTACAACTTAACAACCAAGTGCCGGTTCATGCTCTAGACCATATGTTAGAGCTGATGATACCACATAGGTGTTAAAATTTCGGTAGATAAAGTGGGGATTCTAACTTATCAACCTCTTGCTGAAAAGGTTGGATTATGTACAAAAATGCCTGGAAAATTTGTATGGTTATATTGTGATTTTATTGTGTTGGTGTTTCATTTTCTTTTTATACTCGTCGAAGGTAATCAGACAGACAAAATCAATTCAGAACCTTGCACACGCAAGTGCATTGGTTCAAGTTGTCACGCTTCACAGTAGTATACAAAGAACGAGTGGATAAGAAAGACTGATATCAAAGTAGACAGAGGTGTATGTGAGGAGAGGGAATCTAAACATTTCCGTAAGTCGAAACATTCAACTTTTAGAAAACTTCAGAGAGTTAATACATCTGAGCTATTGTAAATGATTTTCAGTCACTTCAACAAGAGTCCTCAACTTTTATTTCGATCGGCTTGAGGTAGTCTATCGCTCTGTACACTACTCAGCCCAACACTCAGGAACTTTACTGACTGGTCATTCTGAACCTTCTTCCAACCCAATCAAGATTCCTCTAGTATGGCGCGTCGAGGTAGGTGACGGTGGCTTGGCATGTGCAGTACTTATCCAAGCCACCTCAGTCATTAAAGGCTCAAGTGTCAACTTGTCTGTCTTACGTAATACTCTCCACTGAACCTCAACATTGCTCACACGATGATTCCACCACTGGGGAGCAATGCTACGAAGACATCTGTGATCAAAAACTTGTAAGCGCTTCATATCTTCTAGTTTTAATGGCCATGTCACAACTGTATAACTGAACAGAATGAACTACAGTGCAGTATACTCGTCCTTTGATGCATATCCGGATATCTCGCCAGTCGGCACCGGATATTATGCAGGTGCCAAAGGGGTTTCTGTATCTCAGTTGAGATTTTGTCAGCAGTAACGTGTTCGGGCTGATGCAACTCATCAGGTTAGTGGAGTGTAGTGAACGTATTTTACCACATCACTTCCTGTCACTAACCTGGGAGTAGTTGCAGCAGCAGCACCATTTCACATTTGACAAGTACAAAACGCATGCCAAGCATACTCAGATTTCTTCTCAACGCGTTCAGAAGACCCTGCATTTTGTCAGCGTTTTTATCGAGCAGGACGATGTCATCTGTGTACTCCAAGTGAACCAGATGCCCTTTTTAGGGAGTAGATCAGTTTCTATGAATTTAAATAGTTAGTTAACATAGATGAGTTTGGTAGTGGTAACAACTATCAAGAAGTTTTGGAGAGGTCTCTGTTATGCTGACTGTTGGTTTTTAACCAGCACTAAGGACTTGATAGCCAAATCGACTACCATCCACTGATCAATTTCTACACCTAATTATTTTCTACGGAAGACAGTACCGATATCAATCTTTTGCTTGGTCAACTCTTGACCTTCACTAGTAAGTTAAAGGAGTTTAAGTTGTCCAAGACAGCGTACCTTGCTTCTGGATGGCATGCGCATTGTTGACAGGCTCTCTGCTTATCAAGTCGTAGTATTCTTGTATGAGACAGTGAACATGTAATTACGAATCATGGTTCTGCAGTAGATTGACGTGATAAAGCGTAATTGTAAAGGAAAGCATCATAGTGAAATTCTTTGTTTCGAATTTTTGTGAGTTTTGTTGCCTTTCAAGGATTATTCATTCTCTCAGTCGCTCATATTTCTCAGTTACTGACTTATTTAATTTAGAATTGGATAGATTTATCTCAATTATTTTTGGGTCCATTTCACTATTCCTGCAGATTCCACAATTTCTCACTTCCATATTATACAACCAACTAACAAGTTTACCTAAACTCACACTATATCGTCATATCACATCATCATCAGTTCAACTATGTAAAAATCCATCCAATCAAAGTGAAAAATCCAGTTCTTATGGTTCAGCAGCTACGCGACTACGCTTTCCAGTCCGTGCAAAAGCTTATCGTTTAAGAAATAGTGAAGGTACTGGTGGTGGTGTCACGGGGCGTATGATGTTGCTTAGACGTTATGTATCAAGGTTACTCGACGATGAGCGCCTTGAATTGGTGTGGTCACATGCTGTTGAAGCTCGATTGTATACTGAACGTTTAATTCAAGAAGGTGTTATGGCGTCAACGCAACAAGATCTTATATCGCTATTTGAATATTGGAAAAATTCCGATGAAACAGAGAATAAAATGAAAACTAACATTGGTATTCTAGAACTTGCTGTATTTTGGTTAACTGAGGAACGATTAGTTGAGAAATTTTTCAAGGTATGGTATTTTTTTAATATGTGTAAAACTTGAGCACTGGTAGAATTTAATCCCATATTAGATTTGTTCATTTGATTTATAACGCACAGTGATACGGTATTATTTACTTTTCAGGCATAAATTATTTCTCACAACCATATCAATGTAATCACACCACTTACAACATCTGATTTTTGTAGTTCTGTCATCTCATATGATTTGTTTTTTAATTGGTAGTAGAATTTTCTATACCCCTAGTATAGGTGTTGCGTCATTTCTATTACATGTGTTGGATGTTGACTCGATGAACAAAGATTCAGTAATCAATCTCTTCCTTTCTATCTTCACCTAATTATATTGGACCTAAGTACAGTGGTTTTATCTCACCCTATTGTGTGGTTGCATGCATTGCAATAGCATAGTTTTTTTCTAGATTATTGATTTTACTGGGGTCTGTCATTCTATATTTAGATAAATTCCTATGTTCCGCTATTCCAATTGACCGGCTAGTTTGACTTATGTACTAGACCTCATAGTCATTACATGGGATTTGATAGATTAGATTATTTTGCTGAATTGGTTCTATCAGATCCTTAAACCAGCCGACAAAGCTTATCTCTGAGTGAGTTTGTAAGTTTCAGTGCCACCCTAATTCCAGCTTTGTTGAGGATCGTACGTAAAGTTTCTGATGTACCTTCCTTATAGGGTAACACAATGGAGGCTGAGAACTCCTTGCTACTCGCGTTGTCGTTATTATTCGTACCCGTGTTACTGTTATCTTTTCGTTTTTTGTGTGTTCGTACGGATTTCTTAATAAACTATGGAGGATAATTATCAATTCCATGTTTAGGTCCTCACACTGACTAGTCAGTTTTCTAGCTTTATCATTCAGACATTTGACTAAACCTGCCTTAACTGACGTTGGATGAGATGACTTGAAGTCTAGATACCTGTTGGAATGTGTCGGTTTTCTGTAGTCGGTAGTATCCAAACCACCGTCTGTCCTTCGTTTTATCCTGCAATCCAACTCAGGTAATTCTCCTTGTTCCTTTTCTACTTCCTAAGTGAATTGGATTGCGCCTACTACTGAGTTTGTGTGTGTGTGAGGAAATTGTGAACACTTTTCGATTTCAACACAGTAAATATGTCATCCACATATCGCCGCCATATTTTTGGTACAGGATTAAACGTTTGTAAAGCCATTTTCCCCAACTACCCATAAGTATATCTGCTACGATTGGAGCTGTTGGCGATCCCATTGCTACTCCTTCTGTTTGTCTGTATATTTTTTCGTGAAACTTAAAGATTGTGGAGGTCAGGCACAACTGTACGTTTAATATGATCTCATCAACTAAGTTCTGAGTCAATATTTAGTCGATTTTTGACTGCTTCCAGTGCCATATTGATTGGTATCTTAGTATGAAGCCTTGTTACATCGAAACTAACCATTTTTTCATCCTCTTCTATATATCGGTCATTAATCCTTAGTTTTAACTCGGAAGAGCTTACTAGTCTGGAATTTGAACTGTTCCTATTAGGACACAATACCGATGCTAAATACTTTGTTTTAGACATTTAAATCACTCGAATTTTATTGATATTGTTATCATATGTACATGAATTTTATGGAGTGTTTTGTCATTTCGTAGTTATCGGCAGTGATTATGGAGTCTATATGTATATAGATACTTACCAAGATCATTTCAGATAAGATGAATGTTTTACTTTCTTATAAGAAAATTTTGTTCATTTTTGCGATCACTGCTTTTCCGTTTTTATACAGCTTTATGTATTTAAATCCTTATGACTTGTTGGAGAGACTCTCACCTCAGTTACTTAAACAGCTGACTAAACCTACATTTACCAATTCAGGGTAAGATAGCCTGAAGTTTAGGTATCTATTATAGTGCGATGGTTTGCTGTAGACACTTGTGTCTAAACTGCCGTCTTGTCTTCGTATTATTTTGCAATGTAGTATAGTTAGTTCACTTTGCCAATTTATAACTCGGAAATAAATGTTATCCGTCCTTGAGTTTGTGTGTGTGTGTGTGTGTGTGTGTGTTGAAGCTATGGATATATTCGGATGTCAACATAGTATGTGTCATCTACACGCCACCACCGTACTTTCTGAGTAGGATTCAATGTTCTAAGAGCCATAGGTTCTTATCTATTAGTAAAAATATCTACTACGACTGGGAATGTTGGTGATGCTATAGCAAGCGCTTCCGTTTTGTTCATACAATATATATTATCGTAAAATCTGGAGTGTGGAGATAAGAAAGCTGAAGTCGTAACATGATATCTTCCATCAGTTCCCTAGTTTGGTGTATCAACTCGAGATCATTTTTTAGTTTGTTTTTGGCAGCTTCTATAAATGTACTAGTTTGCATACTAGAATGCAACTTTATTATATGGAAACTTCTGAAGTGCGTGTTTTTAAAATCATCACGCGTTGGTTCAAGTAAGTGTATGTTTGCGTCTCAATGGTCGTAGAAAAACTATATCAACAAGACCATTATGAGTACACTAAAGCAACTTTCAGTGCGTAACTGACTAAACAGTTCTTGGGACAGAATAGCATCACTCATCCAGACTAAGCCTGTCTCCATTTCCTATCTACTGTAAAAATAGCGTTGAAGACCGTAGCCAACTCTCAGACTGATTAGAAAGGGTCAATAGATCAGCAGCTTTTGAATTGAAAGATGCTTGCGAACGTATCCTTGTAGACTCTGAATAGAAAACCGAAATAGGAAGCCTAAGTCGAGAAAGCTTTGAGCAATGGGAAACGAAGAATAGAGGCAGAGCCAGATGTACCGGTTCTAGAGGACTATTGGTCAAGTTAACTTAGTTGTTAACTCGTGTATGGCAGTCAGATATGATTCCCATTGATTGGTCTCAATCACTAATTGTCCCAGTCTTCAAGTAGGATGAGAAGTACTGTGATAACCCTGAGAAGAATCAGCCTGACGAATATAGTAACGAGAATTCTAGGTTTTACAATCATTAGGCGTCTGAGTGGAGCTCGCGAACAGCAAGCCCCCCAGAAAACCAGACAGACTAAACCTGTCTGTGGGTGTATTGACCGGATATTCACACTCCGCCAGGTTCCGGAACACAAGCATACTTACAGTTGGCCGACACTCGCTATATTTCTTGACCTGAAGGCGGGATTCGACTTCTACTGAAAGAAGTTTCCGGAAAGCACATCGCTCCATTGAAAGTTTTGTACTCAAACATCCGTGGGTGTGTTACAGCCTATGACAAGTTGTATACACCGAGTGGTATCCATAGAGAATATTCACTTTCCTCATTTTTATTTACCTTAATTATAAGCGTACTTTCGGAGGTCCCCATTTCATCACTCCACTTTAAAAAGATTAATCTTGTCACATAAGAATCTTTAGTAGATGGAGAGTATGCATATGACACATTACTGTTAGTTGGAGACGCTGACAACATGCAGAGTCTTGTAAACATAATGTTTGGAATGTGTCTCCCACCACACAAATGTAAACTGTTGCTCCACAAATGGTCTTCTTTGGTGCCCGATCTGATAATAGGGAGTGAAGTGGTTGAGTACGTTCAACAGTTAACTTACTCGGACGGTCCGACCAGCCATTGTGGATCAATCGCTGAAAAAAATCTCGGCCCACATACAGAAGGCTCGGTTGCCTTTCACCAACTTGCGCCATTTATGGAACCGCCGTGATATCCGATTGCCCATTAAGGGTGGAGTGTACTGGGCGCCAGTTCGCTCTGTTCTGCTGTATGGCTGTGAAACGTGATCATAAAAGGTAGAGGAAATGAGAAGGCTTCGAGTATTTAGCCAACGTTTCTTTCGCAGCACAGGTTGTGTATCATGGTGTCATCACTTCAGTATTGAAGTCAAGTGAAGAGAAGAGGAAATCCAGTTGGTGAACTTGTGAACCTGCAGCAATTGAGCTGCCTGGAGAATGTGTTACGCTTGTCTACTCACTGTCAGCCTCGTCGCTCAAGTTAGCAGAAGTAGGCTTAGGGTGGAAAAAGGCAGGGGCTGGTCAGAATAACACATGACATCATTGCATGAAATCTTTGACTGTTGGTGTGAGCCGTGCATGGGAATGCAGATTTCGTATTTGGGACTCAATAGCTAGCATTAACCTTTGTGGTTGGAGACGCTAGTTGATCCGGTTCAGAAACCATCTGAGTGGCGCAGATGTATCTACATATTATCGTATTCTCATTCGTCGTACTGAATTCAGTATTTTCTTATTATTCATTGGCATTTTATTATGAATTCCTACCACCTTTGACTGTTGTGTTCCTTACTTCTTTATCACTCAGCTTCTCGCCTCCTCGCTTGATGTGCTGGTATGACGTGTGGCTAGTTGAACCATTATGTGATATTACCTGATTCTATTTGGTTCTGTTTGTGTCTGTCATACGTCAACTGCTTAGCTAGTAAATCTTAGTAACATGGTACATTCTACTACGATTATTAGTTTTAGGCATTAGAGTAAACTTACTTGATTGATCCATTCACGTCTTCATTTTTGCGTACTGCATGAGCAGTAGACCTCATTATCTTGTTCATTGCTGACTGACAAAATTAACGTAGAACCTCTCACACAAGTGCATTGGGTCGAATTAACATACTTCACAGTAGTATACAAAGAACAGGTGGTTAGAATAGGAGTAATATCACACGTAGAAAGAGTTGTTTGAGAGGATAAACAATCTCAAGATAACGATTAATGCAAATATTCAAGCTTTAGGAGATGTCAAAGAGCATTTCTGGGCCATTGTGACTGATTTTCAGCCATGTCACCGAGAGCTCTCAACCACTAATTTCTATCGTCTTGGGTACCCCAAACAGTTATTCCACATCTCACAACACGACTAAGATCAACAGTATAAGACTTCACCGACTTGTGCCAGTCTTGGTGTGGTCACCCTGAACCCTCTTCCAACTTAATTCAACTTCCCTTAGCATGGCATGTCGAGGTAGTTGGCGATGCCTCGGCATGAACAGTACATGTCTA